ATATACGTTGGGTAAAGGGCAAACCCGTTATATAATTAACATCTCCCCAACGCAAAAATACATCTTAAAAAAAAACAACAGTGTTGTAGTCGAGACCACTTAAGACCTACACAAGACCAGCACAAAACCAACCAAAGACGTCCAGTCTGAATTCAAGCCACACTCTATTCTACTGAACTGCAACAAAAAAATTCCTTTGTCATTGATTAACCTGTTACTTGTGACTGGTCTTAAGCATGGTCTTGTATCTGGTCTTGATTATGTAAAACACTGATAAATAAAGGGCAAGAGCTGCTGCACGGCCCACACATGACATTTTTGACGAGAAAAAGTTCGCTTATGAGATAAAACAATCTTTTGATTTTATTGTACATTCCTGTCCACATAACTTTTGCTAGCCTCTTGGAAAAAAGGGCAAGAGCTGCTACATAGTCTATGCAGAGCAATCATCTAGCATGTATAAATCCTTAATTTTCAGGACTTAAAATTCATTTCTAGTAGTGGTATTCATTTGCACTTTGCTTAGATTTATTAGGATTGCATGTGTAATGGAAATATTGATGTATTGTACTGGCGTTTTACTTCAGCACATAGCACAATGACCTTTGTGGTTAGATTGTCAGCATTGTGATGTGGCTGATATGCCAGTGAGGCTTATACAACGACTTTAAATCTTAATTTTCCAATTCTTGTATGCTGCGGCTTCTACACCGCATGGCTTATATTCTGAATATTATGTTAAGTTACAAGATTTTGCTTAACAGGAACACAAAAGAACTTTTTACAATAAAAAAGGTCCTTTAAAATCTTATACCTTATCAGAGCTCATAAACTGGGATTGTCGAGCAAAGTTACAGTGTACATCTACTTACTAGAGTAAGCTGTTATCAGCTTAGTTGACCAGATAACTCCTTTCTTCACAAATCACCAAGAGAAGAATGGAAATTCAGTTAAGTCCATGCAAGAAAAACATCACTTACCGATCAATGTCTTCAAGCACTGGCCTGATGCTGTATCCCAGATTCGACTATAAAAGTACATACAAAAGATGCGTATCAACTTTTAAACCCTTGGATTTTCACAAATTTTCAGATGTACACATGTACAAGGTACAGAATGTTTGACCATGTAAAAATGAAAAATTTGACACAACTCATTTTTAAATAAGGTGTGCACAAGGTTTGAGCTAGCTATATGTACATCCGAACAAAATTGTGTCTGGGTATTATGAAAAGTCTAGTCAAGTGCACACAAATTTGTTGCAAACTCAACTACACAGTTGTAGCATAAATGCACATGTACGTGATGTAATGGGTTTGTCAACTGTATAGTGCAGGGGATAGTATAATTGATAGCTCACTATACAACTGAAAAAGTCGAGTCAAAATTTACGCAAGTTCTATTTTTTAATTCATTGAAATTCTTAGTTTTGAACTAATTTTCTCTTAATTAACCCTTACTCTGCCGCAAGCATACCAGTACGTCCACTTAATTCCCCATCCATAGGTTGCCCGAGTACCAGTAAATTCGTAAGGTAAAGGTAAGGGCAAAACCCGTATAAAAAAGCCCAATAATTTAGTCATTTACATGTTACGGCTGCCTAAGTAAGTGAGGCAGTTTGATTGGCTAAATCCTTTATAATATGGAACATGTTAGCTCATCACAAGATGTAAAAAACCTGCATCATGCATGCAGCTTGTGTTGAGAATGGCATTGTGCAGCAAGACAAACCAAAAATCTGGGAAAGAAGTTTTGGATTCTTACTGTTCTGTTATTTTCACGAGTTCCCTTTGTGTTTTGCCGTTGCAGTTGTGAAAACACGTGTGAAAAGCTCAATGCATCAAAGCAATACTGTGCTGGTTCCTGCAAAGCAGTGCCTATGCAAAAGAACATGTGATAGAAATGTGGCAACCAGTCTAGCAATGGTACACTACACCAGCCATACTTACTTGCAAGCCTATAGTTGCATGTTGAAAACTATCGATAGTACAAGCAGATTTCTGGAAGTTAATTAACAGAACTTAGTCTCTTTTCTGTGAGTATGTTTTCTATGTTAGAGAGTTTAATTTGAGGTTGTTTTGCCCGTACTCGAGGCAAGCATGCTTTCACAAAATTTCCTTTCAGCTAAAAGTGTGAGTTCATTCATTCACGAAGAACTTTTGACAATCAGAATTGTGCACCACACATACAAGCACTAAGAAAGAGAAAGTGTATTAATACAGGCATTTATTTTTGCAGAAGAGGGCATCGCTGCTTGAAGTATTGGCACCTTCAGGACCTGTGTTTCTGTGTACAGGAGTTTATCACATTGTACAGTACATGTACACTGCATGATTTGTGTGTATATGATGTACATGTTCATGAACTGTGCATGCACGGAATTGACATTGAAGCTGGCTTGCCAGCTTCACACGTTGCAACATTTGTGAGTATCAATTCTGGAAGTATTTTGTGCCAATACATTTGCAATGGGACTTAGTTTAAAGACTACTATTCATTCCTATTGGTCAGTTGACAAGGTAGTTGCTACTCCATTTTGGGAAAATTTCATGTAACATAATCGGTATCAGCTGTTTCTGAAATTTCTACACCTAGAGAATAAAAGCAAGGCTGCCCCACACCATAATAAAAATTATGATTTGCTGTATAAGGTGCACCCTACATGTACATACGAAAAATTCTGCAACTGCTGAAGGGTTGTGTACACTCCAATTTACACTTTCTGGACTCCTGATTGTGAGCTTGTGTAACCAAGAGGTCTAATTAACGAGAAAAAATATTTGAAGGAAACAGCACTACAGAAGAAGAAGCAGCAACGAACAGGATCTGGATGTTTTCTTTAGGTAATTAAAAAGAATCACACCCAGTCAGTATAAATTACAGAGTATCAAATTTAGAATCCACCAGAGCCTTGTATAAATTAAACGACAGTCAACTGGTGGCTAAATCAACACTAGATGATGTCAAGACCAATGGCAGGTCAAGAAGGTGGATGAGGTAAAACTTTCATACCGGTATGTATGCAAGACAGATATTCACACAGCCTTGATGATCTGTGCCACCTAGCCGCTATGAATCCCCCAAATCTAGGGAATGATCGCACAGAAATAAAACTCTGCACTAGTGCTGATCAACGGTATAGCTGATTATTACCAATTTTGGCAAGTGTATGGAAGAAGTGCTCTTCATGGAGCTTGGAGTGGCTCTACTCAAAAATTGTGCTATCATGGATCATGAATGACTATCGAGGCCAAAGGGACATTTTGCAAGCTGTCTCCAGATTACAAGCCAAACTAGTTAATAAATTTTGCCTCACAATGTAAGGAATTTACAAACACAAAAGGATGATGTGTCTGAAAGAAATTCACCTCAAAAAGGGGGAAATTATTTTTAATGAGCATGTTTTATCTGCTGTTAACAGGCCATAATATAGTCAGCCAGTCAAACGTACTAGTAACATCTTGACAATGCGAACCTCAAGGGAATAGAGTTATCCTAAAAATTTCTTATGGATTGAAATAAACCACTTTATTGTAGTACCTTTGTGATGCAAAACTTTCATTTCGCTTAGTCTTTTTTACAACATGACACGCTGTACATAACCGCTGCAGTGTCAGTGATTGGACTACCTGAAGGGGGTTACATTTCGGTCCATGGTAGCAATCAGGCTACCTTTGGTAGCTTGAAAGCCAGGATTTGTTGCAGGTTCAAGAATGCAGCTTGCACAGAAGTGGTCCTAGTGAGAAACGAAATGCGCTTGGCAGTGATGACTCTTAACCCTAGACTTACAATGCTTTCAATGCCATTTGAAGCATTGTGGTGGCAGTTTTTTGGATCAGAAACTTCAAAATAAGTGGATATAGTGGTTTGGGCATAGTTTGAGTTACGGAGGTACTGTTGTACATAAAAGCCTTTTAATCCATGATGTACGTAGCACTGGTGTGGTCCACATGTGACATGACCAGCGCTGACAATTTGTGCAGGTGCATTCTGCGTGTATGTGGTGGTGCAGCATCCGGGACATTTCCTCTGTACAGTAGCTGGTGTGAAGGTGTTTTGCAGATCTGTTGTCTGTTCCGATGTTCCTCATCAAAACTGTAGTTTTTCTGTTTTATATACTTACAGCAAGATAATATTTTCGCTTGATAAAAAGGTAGGGAAGATTTACCCTGACAGAACAATGTGTTGCTTCCTGTGTAGAAAACAGAGTCCTGTTTCAGGCAGACCATGATTGCACGCAATGTCATCTGTTATTACGCTCTCTCTTATTATTATGTACATTGTACATGGCCACATGTAAGCACAAATCAGCAATCACAACACCATTGTTCGGTAAATTGTTTTGTAATGTTATTTACATTTTTTTGGTTGGCATGACAATCGCACAGAGTTTTAGCTGGTAACCTTTGTTTTTGAGCAAGTTTTTTTGGTACATCAGCAAATTTTGTACTGAAGCAGCTCCGTGAAATTGGGCCACGTATCAACAGCATTTGCTCATTGTTGATGCTTTTACATTTTCAAAATAAGTGGATATAGTGGTTTGGGCATAGTTCGAGTTACGGAGGTATTGTTGTACATAAAAAATTTTACCTTTGCTTTTGCATCACAACTGATTTTTTTGTGCTGTATATTTATACAGCACAAAAAAATTAGTTGTACTTCTGTGTTCTGTCAAGGAGCCTAAAATATAAGTATACAGTTTCTGAACTAGATATAATCTGCAACAACTTCATACCTAAAGATACTGATTTGGAAATGCTATGGCAGATTTTGATGGAAACAATCAGTTGCAAACAAATTTGTAGATCCATTGTTCGCATTCACAAACATTTCGACACACAAATTTGACTATTTTTCCCACCCTTAAAGTACTCTGACTTGTACTCATAATTAGAAATAATTGTACTTGTACTCAGAGATACAAGTGCTCATACTCTTACCTGTAGGTACTAGTACTCGTACTTGAAAATCAGTTTTGTACTTGGCTGGTAAAGTAATCGGACTTTCAGGTACTCAGAAAATTAAGTACTTGGCAGCACTCTGTACTCGGAAAAAAGTACTCGACTACAACACTGTGACAATCTACAGCCCAGGATTAAAACAGAGTTTTAAACAGATTGAAACTCTGCGGCAATATGGTGGGTAACCAGAAGACACTAAACAATTTCAGGAGTTTGATGGATTTCAGAAATATACACTGACTAGTTGACGCTACTCAAGCTCCTGTGACTTGAGGTGTTGTGACCAAAGTTATATCAATGCTGTGATAAACTTCAGCTTCCCAGCTTGATTCTGGGCAGCATGGATGGCCTAGTTGTGTTGATGGCCAATGGTGTGACGGTTGTCTTTGACTTGGGCAATGTAGGTGCGGTGAAGGCCACCTCCTTGGCAAAAAGATTCTGATGGTTGGTTATGAGGGTCCACGAAGATAGCCAAAGGCACCTCCGCTCCTTAAAAGCCGTGGCTGATTAGGCGAAGACGGCTTCTTAGCGGTGGTAGGTGCTACCTGGGTGCAAGCGTACAGGTCGGTAGAAGACAGCCGAACCGGGAAATGCACACCAAGGCAGTAGCACATAAGGGCATGATGCGAAGCATCAAAACGCCTGTCCATGATTTCAGTTATCAGGGTTTCAGCTGTAGAGCAGAACTGTCTCGACTGTTGACTTAAAGAGCTGCATTTTGGCACTACCGCAGGCTGCTCCATCCCAAACAGATGTAAGTTTTCGGGAAGCAATCCAGGCCAGCTGTTGACACTGTTGAATGGCGCTTCTACTATCTGCCACGTTGCAACCAAGGTAGCAAAAGTCCTCGCAGACCGCAAGGGCAATGTTGGTTGTTGTGCGGATGATAGAATGTGGAGTGTCTCTAATGTACATGACCTTTGTCTTGCTGGCATAGAGTCTGGCATAGTAGGCCCACTTTGGCTGATGCTGTCTCAAAATGATGTAGTTGGCTTTGTGCTGCTTCCGCATCATTGGACATTAGCACAGCATCGTTGTAATCCGTCACACTGATAGACGTCCTCTC